GAGGTCTTCCCGAGGAGGCGGCGGCGACACGCATGCGACCTGGCGCGGCGCCCGCCGGGGCCCCGGAGAGTTGGGAGGTGGGGGTCTAAGTAGGTGGGTGGGGAGACTGTAAGTGGCGAACAGGCTGCGTCTCCCCTACTTGGCGGGTGACAAAGCTCCACTTAAGAGACCACGTTTTTTCTGGGGGCGGGGGTGCTACCTGGGGAGCGCGGTCGCAGTCTCCAGCAGTGACTGCCCCCTCCCTCCCGGCCCGGCTGGGCAGACGCCCAGCAATTTAAAGCGACAGCTCATCTCTCTCGGGTGACCTAATCTTCAGGGCTGTGGGCCCCAGCGCACTTAAGCGGAGGGGGCAATTTAAAGGGGCGGGACCCTAGGCCCCCCACCACTTCACAGGAAACACCCAGCAGCATCTCATTAAAGAAGCAGTAGCCGCGCTTTTAAAATAATATTTTTTTAAATTCCTGGTTGCCTCGGGGTGTGGTGAATGTTGAGTGCCTGACAACAAGAGTGTGGGTGTCGTGGTCCCGGACGACTGGCCCATCGGGCATCCTGACCAGCATCCCTGCTGCCTATGCGTCCTGCTGCTTCTTACCTGGCGCTTGAGGAAATGCTGGAATCTGCCTTAGACCTTAAACAATGTTGAAGAACAGAAGGGCGCTCAGTTCTTCACACACCCTGATTTCTATCCGTCTAGCTCTGATTTTCCAGACAAAGACTCAATTCTGGGTTAATGCTGAAGAGACCAGCATAGGCAGGAAGAGGAGCGTGGCAGATGCTTAGGACCCTGACGGCGGCCGGGCTGTCTAGGTTCTAGTGCCCACGCCACCACTACACAAGCTGTGAACACCGGCGTGTTATTTAATTTTCCTTTTACCTCGGGACCCTCGTGGGCAAAATGGGAATGGTGATAATAGTTCCTAACTTCTAAACGTGGGGTGAAGATTAATTCGTTGCCTGTAAGCGTTTATGCTGTGTTATGTGAACCCAGACTGAGTGGTCAAAGGAGTCTGAAAAGACCCCCTAAACCCTACCCAAGGGAGGCAAGTTCCACAGATTGTTCGGATCTCTTTGGACGGGAAGCCAGCTTGCTCCTATTTCCTTGGCCTCGGTTTCCACCACTTCTACCTGGCCCCTCTTTCAGGAAGCCTGACTTTTAGTGTCCCACTTTGTGCCCAAATGCAGCTTCTCACATCCGTTGGTATGGGAGGTGGGGCCAACAGTTGAGGATGTCGGGGCTCCCTGCCAGGCAGGGCTAGCTTGCCCCCAAAGACTTCAAGGTAGGCAGTGGAAGTCCATCCAAGGACTTGGAAAACCAGAGCCTGTGCCGGGGTTGAGGTTGTGGCAGACGCAGGTTGGGAAAGTGCCCCCACCAGTGGGGAACCTCCCCTCACTTGTGGCCTCTATTTTTAGTGCTTCCCCAGGCTCTAGCTGGAGAAACCGTTTAGTCATCAGGGTGTTTATTTTCTGGCTGTTTCCGACGTCGGGAAAGCAGAATGTTGAGACTGGAGACATCCAAGGCTGCTGGAAAAGACTTCTTAGAAACAGGCTTGGGAATGCAGCCTTCAGACCTTGGGTCCCAGATCCTGGGAGGTGGGAGAGGCAGTATGGGCAGGGGCAGCCAAGCCCCCTGGAGACCAAGAGAGCTAAGTTCTCAACCTGCCTCCAGTTGGGAGTCTCTCCAAGCCAGAGGACCCTATGGCCCTGGCTCTATTTGAAGGATTCTCTCCAAAAACACAGCAGCCCAGAACAAATTCTTTCCCAGGGTTGATTCCCAGAAACCCCCTCCCCATCCTCCAGTAGGTCCATGGTGAGCCTCCCGCCAACCACAGTTCCAGCCAATCTCCAGCTTGAGGCAGGTCTTCCCGGGCTCTGATTGGCTGGCTGGTCCTTCCAGCCAAGGAAGGTTGGGTCCTGCACACAGGAATGAGGAAGGAAGGTGAGTCACCTGGGGAGGGTATTAAAGGGCCCAAATTTGAGGGAAGAGGGAGTGGAGGGAAAAGCTCAGGGTGAGTTGGAGTGTCCTGGTGACATGCTGTTGTAACTCACTAGAGAACAGAGGAGGTGCGAATGCTAAAAAGTGGCACAGAATTTGGGATATAGAGAAAGCTTCATGGAGAGCAGTAGCAGACATCGTGAAATCTTGATTTCAGGGAGGACTAAAGGGGTCTAGGGAGTAGTGTTGCTGGAAGTTACATGGAAATGAGGAGTTCCTGAAAGTGACTCACTACATCTTTTTTCTCCTGGCCCTTAGATTTCACATCCCAGAGTCCTCTGGGATTAAAAGGATTGAGCAGGCTCAGATGCCTGGGTCTCATTTTCATTTTCCTCCCCTACTTTTGGCTGCCTGTCCATCCAGAAAAAAGCCACCTAGAAGCCCAAAACTGCTGTAAAAATCCCCTAGAAGCAGGACACTTTGGTGCCCACTGAAGTCCTAAAGAGAGTATGTTGTGTACACCTTTAAGTTTATATGGCTGAGGGCAATCTATGCTCTTTTTCTGCCCCTTAAAGCTCCCTAATCCAACTTCATTAGGAAGGTTCCTCCTCTTCCAGATCTGCTCCCGCCCTGTTTCTCTACCTGCCTGTTTCATAATCCAGGGATCCTTCATTCCTGGTCCAGCCTCTGTCTGCCCGCTGAACGGCCACCTCTCACTGGCCCCACCTCCACCTGCACAATCTTCAACCCCCTGTCGCCGTCCCCTCACCCCTCTGTCCCCCTTGTGCTTTTGAGTGATCCCAGCAAAGGCTGTAGTCTCTCCCACATCGACTCCTTGGCCCGTGAAGGGAAGGACCAAGGGCGGTGAAGGAGGTTCGGGGCACACGTTCTCCTGCGCCACTCCTCCAGCACTCTCCACTCTGGATCCTCTCAGTTCACAGCGCAGTACACTGACATTTGTGGTTTTCGGTTCATTTTTCCTGGCCAGAGTCTGAGCTCCTAGAGGGCAGCAAACTAATTCAACCTCTGGTCTTCAAGGTTCTTCAGGACTAGCCCGGAAGGAGCTTGGCAAATGTGTTGCCTGAGTCTGTGCGCGCGTGTGTGTGTGTGTGTGTCCATGTGTGCACGCTCTCCCATGTGCGCATGTGCAGCTGTGCATCTGCGTTGAGATTATAAAAACTTTATTGAACACTTCTGCTTGTCCGTGGAGAACTGTGCTAGCCCAGGCATGGATGGGGGTCTGGTCTGGGGTCCTTACAAGCTCCGCTTCAGGCCAGGGTTGGGGGAGGGAGGGCAGAGTCAGGTAGAGCGCTATCCAAGGGTGGACTGGCAGAGCCGGCCCAACTCGGTGCCAGGGTGCCTGGGGCCAGGCCTGGGGCAAAGGGCAGAGGCCCCACCCCGGAGCTCAGAGGGCAGGGAGCGAGTGCCAAAGCCAGGTCCTCGGTCAGTGCATCCCCCACTTGAGCTCTCTGCCCCAGGCTGAGCAGGATGTGGTGGCAGCTGCAGTAGGGTGGGCAGGATGTGGGGGTGGGGGCAGCTGAAACGCAGCCTGACAGGCTTCTCCACAGCTCCTCCCTCCTTCTCTCTTGCCCGCCCTCCGCCCCCTCCCGGTCACGTGCTCTCATCTTGGGCACCAGCGGACTATTTCCCCCTTTCCGCGGAAGGACATAAATGACAGCGCAAACGCGAGTCACCACCGATTGAACTGCAGCACGCCTGTGTCTTGCCCGGCAGCCCAGGACAGAAAGTTTGCTAACACACATTTCTTTAAAACGCAGATCGCTAACTCGGAGTGGCCCCTTTAAATGCAAATGCCGCCTTCTTTCCCGGGTCCCCCACCCCCATTCCAACTTCGTCCCGGTGCCCAGACTCCGCCAGCTGCCATTGACGTCACGCGTGCGTCAGCGTCGCCAGCCCAACCGAACGGCACGTGGGGGGAAGAAGGCCGCCTTAAAGGGCCAGCGCGGCCGGGTGGTGCGGGGAGGAGTAATGAAACGGGGTGGAGGGAAATCTGCTGAAGCAGGAGGAGATGCTGGGCAGACCTCAGGAGGGACTTCCAGAGCAGGAGGGTGCAGTGTGCGCGTGTGTGTGTGTGTGTGTGTGTGTGTGCGCGCGCGCGCGCGCGCGCGCGCGTCTTGCGATTGCTAACACACACTACACCATTAAACTGCATCCTCGGCCCCTACAGGGTATGTTGTGAGCCAGGGCTGTCCTTTCCTGTCCCTGGAACTTTAGGTGTTTGCACCGAGGAGAGAAACCCGGGAGCAGGAAGAGCAGAACAACGCTGAAGGAACAGGAGGCCTGGCATTACCCCTGCCACCCATGTCTACCAGTGTGAGGACTTCGTTCAGTTCTGCCCCTGGCACGTGGGACAGAGCACGTGGTAGGTACTCATTTCTTGGCAGAATGAGGATATTTAGCCACCTTCTTTAGGAGGCTTCCTCTGATTGCCCCACCCCGCGTGTGCAGCAGACACACTCGGCTAAAAGCAGTCTCACTTCGAACCGAGTGGAAAGGCCTTCTGGGCAGGGGCTGACCGTACCTCTGGGGACCCACACACCAGGGTTCCAACTCTATACCGTGACTGTGGAGTGACCTCGGACACGGCTCTGTGCCCGATCACTCTAACGACCCGTGTTACTTTGGGAGGCCCTTGTGTGGCCCAGCAAACACTTGGCCCCGGCGAGGAGTGGAGACACCATCTCCCCACTAGAGAATGAGGCCCCTGCCCTATACTGATTCATTCTCCGCATCAAGCCCAGCAGGAGGCTCCTATCTGGTTTACTGAATGAATAAAGATGCCCGAGTGAATAGTTTCAGTATTTTCCAAAATCTGACATCCAAACCCACCTGGAGGCTGTTCCCCGAAGGGAGGAAGCGTCACAAACTCCGTGCCCCCCTCTGCACTCCAGGTTTTAAAATTCTGCAGCAGACCCTTGAGGTTCACCTCTGCACGGGAACCAGAGGTACTAAGGTGATGGGTCTGGGGGGACACCTCCCCAAGTCCCCGGAAATGCAAGGCAGGGGCCACTGAGAGGGAGCCGGAGGGTAAGATCTTGCCCAGATAGAGACATTCACGCTCCTTAGGTGCTTTCTCCACTGGCCCCTCTTCCCTCAGAGTCCCCTCTTCTCCCCCCAGCTCTGCGTGCCACCACCTCTCCCACCTCCGTTCCCACCACAGCTGCCCAGTGACCTCCTGCCGCCTGATTCCAGCTCCTCCAGCTTCAGCTGCTTATGGATCTGGCTCTCACTATCTGTCACCACCTGTGAGGTGGGAGCCTGACAGACAGCAGAGGGCTCTTTCTGCCAGGGAGTAGCTGGGATCAGAAGGGGCCAAGGAGAGGCCAAGAAGTGGAGGGACCCTGCTGTGGCTTAGTCCTGGGGGCTCTGCAGGTTCCCCCACAGGAGTCTCCCGGCAGGCAGCCGGCTCCACCCTCTGCTGGGATGCGGTGACACCAGGACCACTTGTTCCAGAAAACCCCAAAATAACCTGCCTTCACTGTCCAGCTGCTATTTCCGTCCATCTTAATTATTCAAACCCAGGTTGGGGCGTGAACTATAAAAAGCTCTCCTACTCCGGGATCCAGGAGAGCTGGGAGACTCGCCAGGTTGCAACCACAGCGGACCACAGGGTTTGGGTGAGGTCACTCGAGCGGCCTCGGGCCGGACACTGGCCCGCTGCTTCCTCAGCTGGAGGCAGTTCCAGGCCACTGATCACAGAGGCACGGAGCAGAGCCACGTCTGGCCTGGGAGCTGGCTCCCGCACCCTCCTCTACTCTTAGCCGTCCCTTTCTTCCCCGCTCCCGCATCCTGCCCTCTTCTCCCACAGATCACACTGTCAGTGACTGAGGAGGCGGGTGGCAGGGAGAGGCAAGTGGACGCCGAGACAGGGAGACTAAGGCGGTAGGAGAGTCCCTGCTGTTGCCACTGCCACCCCGGAGCTCTCGGGAGCTCTGCCCCTGTGGCCGAAGGGGTGGAGGAGAGGCTGCAGATGGGCTTCACCTTCTTTTCCAGGTTTTATCTTCATCTCATGTCCCCAACTCCTGTGTCAGTTTGCACTGGAGGCCAAATGGGAAAAGCAGAGCTCCCTGGGGCTGCTTCTATGACCCCTCCCACCCCAGACCTTTCCCTAGAAGCCTGGCACAGCCAGTCAGGGGTTGTACTGGCAACATGGGCCCTGGGAGGGGGGCAGTGGGGGGGACTCCCTCACGATGGGGAGACTGGAAGCTATGTAGTCTGACAGGAGGAGGTACAAGAGAGACTGGGGAGCTGGGTGTGGTGGTGCAAGCCTATATGGCACTGTGAGAGGCTGAGGCAGGAGAACTGTAAGTTCCAGGCCAGCCTGAGCAACTTTGTGACTTAATGAGACCCTGCCTCAAAAATTTAAAAATACCTATAATCTCAGCACTTAGGAGGCTGAGGCAGGAAGATCTCCAGGAGTTCGAGGCCAGCCTGGACTACATAATGAGTTTAGGGCCTGCGTGAACTGCAAAGGGAGACCCTCAAAAAATAAATTTAAAAAATTTAAAAATGAAAAAGGACTGGAATATGGCTCAGCATGAAAGCTCTGGGTTCAATCCCCAGTACCACAAAAGAGGCCGATTGTGGCAGCCTTAGAGGCCTGGGAGCCACACTTGTGGGATAAACTTACAGGATGGACAAAGGGACAGGGGCATCGAAAGTGACATCCAAATGAGAAAGAGACCAGGAGCAGCCTGAGGACCCCGGGAGAGAGGCAAACCCATGGGAGCAGGAGGGGAGGTGACAGCCTCTCTGAGGGGACGCCGCGGGGGGAGGAAGACTGGAAGGGAGTCTGAGTATGGAGAGAGCCTTGGGTTTCACACCCAGGCTATTCTGGGGCCTGTTCCCACACACTCCCTGACGGTGAGGTCCGCCACCTCTCCTGCAGCTGGCGCCGCTCCCGGAGTGGCCCCCGGAGTGGCCAAGAGGCTGCAGAGCTGGGGAAGAGGCCGCTGTTGCTAAGCAACACAGGCAGCACACCTGGAGGGCACAGGAGTGGGCCCGGCCCGCTGGTACTGGGCGACAGAAACAGGGAGAGGACGAGGAGCGGGGTGGGCACAGCCACAGCCTGGGAGAGGCCCTGTGCCCACCGGGTGAGGGGAGGGGTGCGGCTTGGGGTCCCAGGGCGGGGCGTGTGTGTGTGTGTGTGTGTGTGTGTGTGTGTGTGTGCCGAGCCCAGGAGGGCTGAGCGTCCCTCCGACCCTGACACCCGCTAGGAGGGGGAGGCGCCAGGAGGGAAGGGCCGGGGCCAGGGCTGAATCCGGGAAAGGACAGCGGGACCCAAGCTGCTGGAGTCCAGAGGGGTCACGGGGCGGGGAGACCCCACCTGCCGGCCCTGGGCTGGCGACTTCACCACCCTTCACGGCGTTTCTTCTTGTCTTTCACGTTAGAGTGACTGGGCTGGACGGAGGTCCACAGCAGGAGACCAGAAGGGACGGAGGGGTCACAGAGAAGGACTTGTTCCTCTCGGGGCCCCTCACCCACCTGGCATTCTGGGCCTGAGTGTGAGGGGCGCTCCACAGGGCCTCGCATGGCGCAGCCCTACCCAAGCCGTCTGCTCAGCACCCGGAGGCCGGATTGCCGTGGTGCAACTCAGCGCCACCTCCGCACGGGCCCTCCCTGTCCCTCCATCGCACTGCACCCCACGGGCTCTGTCACAGCATCCCGCTGGGCCGGATGCAGTGTCGCAGGCCTCTGATCCCAGCACTCTGGGAGGCTGAGGCAGGAGGATCACAAGCTCAAGCCCAGCCTGGGCAGTTATAGCTACTTTGTGAGGCTCAGTCTCAAAAATAAATAATAAATAAATAAATAAGGGCTGGGGACGTAGCTCTTCGTGAAGGCCTTAGGTTCAGTCCCCAGGACCACAACAAAAGAAACAAAAATAGTATCTTGCTGCCAGCCTGGCACAGGCCCCAAATTCTGCAGGGCACAGGTTCAGAAGTGGAGTACTCTTCTATCCCTCACTCTGGTCCTGGCCCCGAGTGTGTTGCTGAGGAAGTAAGGAGCCAGGAGAGCTCCTTTCTTGGGAGGGGTCCTGAGATAGGGTTTCCCATTGTAGCTCTTGCACTCACTATGTAGTTTAGGCTGGACTGGAACTCTTGGTGATCCTCCTGCCTCAGCCTTCTGGGATTACAGGGGTGCACCACGCCTGGCTAGGAGAGGCCTCATTCTTGCCCCCCAGGGATGGTAAAGTTGGGGAGGAAAAGGTGCAGGCTTGCTTTGCCCTCTGAGCCACTCTGCGGCCCTTTCCAGCTGGCTGTGACCACAGGTCCGGCAGCAAACAGTGTGGCCAATGTGGAGAGGAGACCCCAGCGTGGCTGTTCAGAGGCCCTCCTGTCAGGACCGCGTCCTCCGGAGGAGTCCCAGGTCGGAGGCGCTGCTGTGGAGGAAGAGGGCTCGGATCCCCAGGAGGCTTGGCGGACGGACAGAGCGGTCATTTCCAGCTGTGTGACCCTGAGGGAGCCACGGCCTTCTGGAGCCTCAGTTTCCTCAGTGCCAGGTGTGACAGCGACTCACACAGCGCTGCTGCAGAGTGTGAACGGTGTACTTTAGACCTGGTTGCCATGCAACAGTGGATGCACCCTCTCCTTCCGTCTCCGTGGGAGAAAAAGTGTAACCAAGGCAGCGGGTTCAGGAGGGGTGCGAAGTCGGCACGGGAGCCAGGCTGGTAATTCCAGCCCTGAAGGAGTCTGAGGCAGGCAGACTGAAAGTTCGAGTCCCACCTGGACAAAGTGAAAGCCCCTCACAATGAAACAAAGGGCTGGACCCCAGCTCGGTGGGAGAGCATTCCTGGGTTCACTCTTAGTACTGTAGGGGCGCAAAGCTGCCGGTGTAGTTCAGGAAGCCCGAAGCCTGGCAGGGATCTGACGATCACCAAAAACCGACCTCCCTGCTGTTTTCTTCCCACTTCTCTCTCGTGACACGTGCAGCGAGACCACCAGGCGGGGAAGCTGACCCGAGTCTTCAGCCCATGTGTTCGCTGACTTCCGGTCCCCTCCCTGTCAGGCTCCCACAGGCACAGGAAGCTTGCACAGGCTGCCTGGCGGCTTTGTCCCAGAGCGAGGGGTTTCGGCAGTAGAACCGGAGCCCCGATGCTGGAGGTGGAAAGAAGACGTTCCGATCTTCAGGATGGAGCTCTAATTCCCACAGTCACTTGGAAGGCTGGAAATTAAAGGGGTGGGTATCAGGAAGAAGCTGAGGTCTGCTGAGCTGGGAAGGTGGTCAGAATTGCAGAAAATCACTACCGCACTCAGCTCCTGACCTCCTGGTTTGCGCTCGCTCTAACGAGAGTCCCGGGTGAGCCAAAGGTACTTTTAAGGTGGAGATAGCCTTTGCAGTGGTGCACACCCATAATCCCAGCTACTCAGGAGGCTGAGGCAGGAAGATCTCTGCAAGTTCAAGGCCAGCCTGAACTACATAGGGGCGTCTTGTCTCAAAAAAAAAAA